CTGGCCAGCCCAGCCCAAGGCCTGGCTGACCCTCCCAGGCTGCAGCTGGGGCTACCTTGTGCAGTTGTGATGATCTTGGGGACACGGATGCAGCTGGGCCCGGACATGTCCAGGGCCCAGCTTGCAGGTGATGCCCCTCATCCTCCTTTTTCCCTTGGAGCATTTGCAGGTAACTTCGAGCCCCTGCTTGGGCCTGGAGTGTATGGCAGGATCTAGTGCCTGCTTCCCAGGAGAGTGATGCCCACCTTCCACCAGGAAGCTCACTGTATCCTCATAGAGCTTTCGTCTGTTGCAGTCCTACAAGGGGCAGGGGGCAGGGGACAGGCGAGGCTCTTGGGTGCCTTGCTGTAGACACAGGAGGACTAGCAGGCTGGGTGTGCTGAGCCCCCCACGTCCATCAGGGCAGTCCTTGGGTGCCAAGCTCTTGTTGTGAGCCAGCAGTGGTCTCCATGGGGTGGGTGGCCTGTCTGCCTCTCCTAGGTGAGGGGTAGCTCTAAGGTGTTCCCAGCAGAACAGAACCCACCTTCCCTGCTTCTCACTTTCTCTTTCAGTCCCGGGGCCTTCCTGCGCAACATAGCAAACAGCCAGACCCATCCTGGCCCAGGTGAGACCTGAGCCCACCAGGTGGTGGTGTTCTAAAGACCCCCAGGGGTGGAGTTGGGGTGTCAGCATGCACAGTGCACATGGTTGTGACCCCCGGGTCTCAGCTTCCACACCTGTCACAGGGGCCCCTGCCGTGGGCTTTCCAGAGCATGATGAGGCTTCAGGGATGTGTGGGACCAGCAGGTAGTGTTTGGGGGAGCCAGTCCCAGTAACTAGGCCTGAGTAACGCCAAGTGAGGGGTTTGTATTTTAAGGCACATTGGTTTCCTTCCTTTTGATTGACCTGGAGCCTCCATCAGAGAAGCCCCTTGGACCTTCCAAGGTGCACCTGACTCCTGACCTCCTGAAAGGGCCCTAAGTCTGTGTCATCTGACCTCAGACATCCTGCCCACCTGCAGGGTCAGTGCCGGCACATAGAGAACCTGCTGCAGCCTCCTTGTTTGTCCCTGGGGCCCCTGGGACCTGGGAAGGCAGGGGTTCACACCGGGCCATGGGACAGAGGCAGACCCATCAGGGGAGGTCGGCCATCCTCAGTGTTTGTGAGCTCCAGGGGCTGCCAGTGAGAAGATAGCCTGGTGCCACTATCCAGTGTGGATGTGCAGTATGCACTGTTGTCCTAAAATAATAACACAGCCAGCTATTTTACCAGCAAAATGGGTTTATTCAGGCACAGCAAGGAGTTGCAATTTGGGACATGCAATCCTGGCAAGCCACAGGAAAGTCCAGGGAACAAAGGAGAGTGACATTATTTTATAGAGGAGAAGGGAGAGTTGGGAGGAGCTGTTGTAAAACAAGAGTCCATTGGAGGAAACTGGGAGTTCGAAATATAGTGGCTTTCATTGGCTAAGTGAGTAAGTTTCATTTGCCTTTGGTTGGCTGGGCTGTTGCCAGGCAAGGAGAAATTCTTCCTCCTTCTGGGTAGTAAAGTAGTAACATTCTTCCTGCTGGAGATACAAAGGTGTAGTCTCTTCCTCTGGGCCTATAATTGACATTGAGTGATAGGGTGTAAGAGCTCTCCCTTATGGCCTCCTGACTCCATTTTAAATGAGGGTCTGTTTATTAATTTTCACAGGACTCCAGGTGTGGACGTGGGGTGTAACTTCTGGGTCCAGTCTCTGGACCTGGCCAATCCTGAGCAGTTGCAGGGCTCTGCCTTTGTCTCAGTCCATGGCTCCTGGTGGGTATGGCTGATGGGGGCTCACTGTGTGCCCAGTTCTACAGTTGCTGGGTTTCAGCCATCTTCACCCTGGTGTGATCACTGGTATCATGAGCCCACTTTATGGATGAGCAAACTGAGGGCAGCCAGCTCAGGACCTGCCATGCAGAGGAGACCCAAGGCACAGGACCCTTCTGTAGCCTGACTCTGGAAGGCAGGGGCATGGGGAAGACTGGTAGGGAAGGAGCAGAGGGTCAGGCCTGGTGGGCTAGCCCTGGGTAGGGGGTGGGGGTTCAGGTGAGCCAGCTCTTCCTCCTCCTGGGTGGAGAGAAGCTGTCTTCTGCTGCCCCAGCCTCCAGGGAGTGCCCCATGCCTGGGGGCTGGGAAGATCTGGCTGTGTTTACTGTCATCACTGTGCCTTTGCCAATGTGGCATGTTACCAGTTTAATGTGTTCAGTTTGGTTAATTTGTCAGTTGAAAATGATATGTATTGTGATTTTAGCTTGCCTTTCATGGGTGGTTAGTGAGGTTGGGCATCCTTCTCACACAGCTGTAGCATGTGCCTGTTCTGTTCCTGGCTCTGCCCTGTTCTGTTGGGAGATCCCTACAGTATATAGTTCGTGGAGGAAGAGTAGAAAAACTTTGCTATATTTGCTGTACATACTTTTCATAGCACTTTGAAGTTTGTTTTCATGATTTGGAGCACTGTTTCAATCCATCAGTGTCCACTTTGCGTCATGAGAGCAAATGTGCCCTCATGTTCTGATTTTGATGGCTTTGTCTTTTACATCTGACTTTTTAGACTTCTTTCACTTTATTACCGTTTATGTTCTGAAGTGAAGACCGAACTTTATGTTTTCAAAAAACATTTGCCAAGGTCTTTCTGGGCTTCAGGCTCTGTTCCCAGGGCTGTCGGACTGCGGCAGCTTTGGCAGGCAGTGTCCTGCCCAGGGACCCTGGGGCGTTGGTGGCCTGCAGAGGGTCTTGTCTGCTGAGTGCTCATCCTGGGCCAATGGCTGAGGGTGGGAGGAGAACCGTCCCTTTGAACAGTGAGGAGACCTCTGGGTGTGGGCAGACAGCTAACCTCTCGTGCCTCAGTTTCCTCATTGTACAATAGGGCTAATGATAATTATCCCGATTACCGCAAGGTTGTTGCGAAAAAATGAATATAGAGTACTTGATGCTGCCAGATGCAGAGTCAGCACTCAGCCAGCCTTAGTGATGATGCGTGGTGTCACTCTCACAGGGCCACCAGGTTCTTTTGTTTTTTGAGATAAAATTCACATAACATAAAATTAACCATTTTAAAGCGAACAATTTGGTGGCATTTAATACATTCACAGTGTTGTGCAACCATCATCTCTATCTAGTTCCAGAACATTTTCATACCAAAAGGAAACTCTGTGTGCACTAAACAGTCACTCCCCATTCCTCTCTGCCCCCACCCTCTGGTGCTGCCAGTCGGCCTCTGTCTCTCTGCATTTACCTATTCTGGGCATGATCATGTAAACGGAATCACAATATGTGGCCTTCTATGTCTGGTTTCCTTCACTCAGCACAATGCTTTTGAGGCTCATCCTTGTTGTAGTGTGCATCAGCACTTCATTCCTTTTTAAGGCTGAATACTACTCCATTGTATGGCGGCACTGCAATTTGTTTAGCCATTCATCAGTTGACAGACATTTGGGTTGCTTCCATCTTTTGGCTATTGTGACTAATGCTGCTGTTAACATTTGTATACAAGGATTTGTTTGAGAAACTGTTCTTAGTTCTTTTGGGTCTATACCTTGGAGTGGAATTGCCAGGTCATATTATAATTTTCTGTTTAACTTTTTGAGGAACCACCATACTGTTTTGCATAGAAAATGTACCATTTTATGTTCCTACCAGTAATGTGAGAGGGTTCTCATTTCTCCACATCTTCACCGGCACTTGCTAGTTTCCTGTTTGTTTGTTTTTTTCTTTTTAAAATTATAGCCATCCTAGTGAGTGTATAGTGGTATCTCATGGTTTTGATTTGCATTTCAGTGGCATCCAGATGACTTAAGGATGTTGAGCTTCTCTTCATGAGCTTGTTGGCCATTTGTATTTCTTCTTTGGAGAAATGTCGATTCAGATCCTTTGACCATTTTTAAATTGATTTGTCTTTTTGTTGTTAAGTTGTAAAGTTCTTTATGCATTCTGCATGATAGACCCTTATCAGGTAATATGATTTGCAAATATTTTCTCCCATTCTGCACAGTGCCTTTTCACTTTTTTGATAGTGTCCTTTAACGCAGAAATGTTTTAAAGTTTGATGATGTCTAATTTATGTCTTTTTCCTTTTGTTTCTTGTGCTTTTGGTGTCATTTCTAGGAATCCATGCCCAAATCCAAGGTCATGAAGATTCACTCCTGTGTTTTCTTCTAAGGGTGTTATAGTTTTAGCCCTTATGTTTAGATTGTTAATCCATTTTCAGTTAATTTTTTGTATGTGATGTGAGGTAGGGGTTCAACTTCACCATTTTGATATCCAGTTGTTCCAGCACCATGGTACAGCTCTCTGGGGAAGGTGACTTAAAGCCGTCCCCTTCACGGGGTCCAGAGGGGCCCTGCCTATGGCTGCAAACTGCCTGTGGTGAAATGGTGGGGGTGCCCTGGCTCTGAGACATGCCCCCCCCCCCCCCCCCCC